GCTTATGCCAGAGCTCCAAGTTGGGTCTATCTCGGACATAATTGGCTTCTTCGCCATCGATCTGTCCTTGCATCACGTATAAGGAGTCTTCCTTCTTACCTCGGGCAACAACCAAGTTTCCCTTGGCCAGGAACATGCCTTACATCTTTCAACACAAGTCGGCACCCAACATCTGTGGTCAGGGTCACATCACCGACACCAATAATCTTGCTGGTCACTTGATTTTCCATCTTCAAGACTCCAAAATCACCACCTCGGTAAGAGGAGAAAAAACCTTTGTGTGGAGTATCGTGGAAGGAGGCACCAGAGTCAACAATCCAGGTGCAGTCATCATATGCAACATTCAAATAATTATCCTCACCTAGGAGGAATATCTCGGCATCCGAGTTGGCAGCCACAGCAGTTGTGCTCTTGTCTTTCCTCTTCTTGGGAATAATCTGATCCGGCTTCACAGAGCTGTTCTTCTCATCATTCTGCAGAGTCCAGCAATCTGGCTTCTTATGCCCTGTCTTCCCACAATAGAAGCACTTCAACTCATATTTCGGCTTTGACCGGCCTCTGGACTTTCCTCGTTTGTCACAATCTCGACCTCGGCTCTTACTTCTACACCGGGAGTTAGATTTTCCTCTGTTCTCAGCAACGTTGGCCTCAGACGTGCTCGAAACACCTCGTTCTCTTCTCCTGGCTTCTTCATTCAGGAGACTATCTGTTACAATATCCATCTTTAATTTTCCTTCTAGAGCCGAATTACTCAAAGTCACCACCAGAGTATCCCAGCTTTCTGGCAGCGAGCTCAACAGCAGCAAAGCCTGCATCTCATCATCAATTTTCATCTCAGCTTTAGACAACTGATTAACAATACCTTAGTAGGTGTTGAGATGTTCAATCATGCTCATGTCTTCCTTGTATTCCAGCTTCACAAGTCGGCGAACCCGATATGCTTTGTTCTTGGGAGTCTTCTTCTGAATCATGGACTCTAACTTCGTCCACAACTCGTGCGCATTCGTGAACTCGAACACGTACTCAAAGAGACTCTTGTCAATGTATTTTCTGATTGTAGCTACAGCCTTACGACTCAGGATCTCGCACTCCTTATCGGTTTTGCCTGCTGGTCTCTCATCAAGGATAATGGGCTCATGTAAGTCTTTGCAGTAGAGATGATCTTCCATCTTCGGTCTCAAATACGTGAAATTGTCTACGGTCAGCTTGAACATATCTCCGTCATGGGTTATGCCACTGGTGTCCATCTCGTCTCCCTCAGAACCCGGGCTCTGATACCACTGTTGGGAGCTCGGATCCCTCAACTCGGCTAAGAAGCCTTTTCGTGTAAGTCAATCAACAAGATCCTGGATCTCAGATATCGGCAATCTTACCTTGGCCTGAACTTCACCAGGTCAGGCAGCACAACGAAAAAACAAAAACAAAGGGGAGAGAGAGAAAGAGAACACAAGCAGTTTTAACGTGGGAAAACCTTCTCCAATGAAGAAGTAAAAACTCACGGGACCTAGTCCAGTTCAAACGTCCATTATGAAAATAATGGATACAAAGAATCAAGATTCACCAATGTGCTGGTTAACACAACCTCTCAAACAATGGTGATAATCAAACTACCATAGAGATGTTTCACTCAAACTCTCTCTAGAGATCTCTCAAATACAAAGCTCAAAGCTTTTCTCACAAATCTCTCAAATAATTTTCTCTCTATTTCTAACCTAACCTCCACCCACAACTAATGAATATATAGAGGAGGTGGAATCTAGGGTTAGGGTTTTAGGAAATCCCTCAATGAGCTTGGGCTTAGCATTGAAAGATGAAGCCCAACACTTTAAGGGCCGACATCCACGACGCCTTTCGCTCTATCGACACTAACCTGGCGGTAGCCCTTTTCCCCTTTGGGGCGGCTTCACCCACCTATCAGTATTCAGTGCCCAAGGTATCTTAATCCAGCCTATAAGTAGTTCTTTTTGTGGCCTCAACTCTCAATGAAAACACCAATTGTTACGAATCTTGAAGTCACCGTTCTAATAGCTCAAAAGATGAGAATGTCTAAGGCCTTGTAACAGGTACTCAATCCGCCAGTATCGAATAGGGTTCATGCGATTATGATATGTTACTTTACACGAAATCACCATTGTTTTACATAAATGTTCTCTTAATTCGTGATGTGAACTATACTCTACGCTATCATATCAATGCATTTAGTATAAGCCAGAACCGCATCAAGTTTTTAAGTTATATATAATCAATTTTGTAAACAGAATTCTAAAACAGTTTTATATTAAAAAACAAAAAACTCGTGTTTGAAGCTGATATATATTTTGAGAAAAACGTCGTTTAGAAGGTCATGTTCTTGACTTTTTTCTTAATTTTTTTTTCAGAAATAAACTCAAAAATATATTTTAATTGTTCTTGTGTAATTGTTATTTCAAATACTCTCCTTTTGTATTATTTTTCCTAGTTGATAAAAACATATTTCGAAACAAGCTACTGAATTTTTTTTTCATTTGAAACACTTTTAGATTTTTTTAACTTTAAAAACAGAAAACTACCTTGAAAACAAAAATAGGGGTGTTCACGGTTTGAATTGAATCGGTTTTGAAATAAAAATCATCTGATCCAATATCTTCGGATTGATCATTTAATCATTCATTTGATTTGGATTTTTTTTTTAAAATTCGATTCAATCCAATCCAATTTTATTCGGTTTGGATTGGATCGATTTTTGATTTTTCGAAAAGCCTAAAATTTCAGCCATACAAATCACTAATTATATCAAAATAAAGTAATTTAAAGTTACAAATCACTGAAAAATTCAATTATTCATACTAAAACAAGTCTTAAAACTCATAAAGAGTTAAAATAGATTAATAGACAATAAAAACTAAAACAAGATAGTTTGGTCTCAATAACATCCAAAATTCCAAGTCTACAAAACAACAAGATTCCAAATCACCATCTTTCAAAAATAATAAATATATAATACATTGAATCGGTTTGGATTAGATCGGTTTTCACTAACCAAATCGAAAACCGATCCAATCAAATTAAAATATGCGGTTATTTTTTGGTTTTTGATTTTTCGATTTTTGGTTAATTCGGTTATCGATTTTTCGGTTCGGTCATCGCGATTTGAATCAGTTGATGAACCCCATAAACAAAACCAAATAAGAAGAGAAATTAAGGTCTATTTAATTGTGTTCTGTTTTTTCTTCTTCATAAAACTATTTTGTAGAATAGTTAATGAAATATATATTTTTTATTTTGAAAGTTAAAAGTTAAAACACAAAATAAAAGCAACTTATATATGTTCTTTAAATTTGATTCTAAAAATAAAAAAATTACATTTTTTATAATTTTTTTATAAAATAGGTCTTATCAAACAGATTTATTCGTTTATTTTTTTAAAAAAAACTATTTTTCAAAACAGATTTTAAAAATAAAATTCTTTCTTAAGAAACAATTTGTAAAGATACAATAGAAAATAACATTTTTAAATAAAATCAAAGTTAGCTTCCTATTTCTCATAATTAAAAAAACTGCTCATATTATTTACTCCATTCATGTATATTTTTTATGGGGAATACTTTTCTCCTTTAACAGGAGAGAAGAATTGTCTCTTACTGAGACAAAAAAGTGGAACCAGTAATTTAAAAATAAAGTAAAAACAAAAACAAAAACTTGACACGGAAGTCGATGTATGTGTAAAAATGAAATCTTGTCTCACGAGAAAAACATTTCCCATTTTCTATCTAAACTCTAATTATCTTTTGGGGCAAGTTGATTCAGAGAATATCCTACCAACATTAACTTTTTGAACCGTTTTGGGACTAATCCCGAATTGAAGTTACTCCATCGATAATTGAACAAAGTATTTATTATCTAGTATTATTTTTCCTTTCATTCCCTTGTTGATCCATATATAAACAAATTGTAATCGTATATATGAAATGAGTAATTAAGTAAATGAAGGGAAAAAAAAAAAAAAAAAAAGCGAGAGAGAATGTAATTGAACACGTAAGAGGAGCACAAAGAGTAGAAAGGCAAAAGTGGACACACGGCCACCGCACAAAATAATATAATAAAGCATAAAGCAAAGATGCCATGCCACGAATCCTCACTCGCTGCTCCATCATCACTATCACACCATTTCTCATCTTACACCCAACCTTCTCTCATTCCTCATTCAATTTCCATTTCTATCTACTTTCTTTAATTAATCTATTACTTGAGTCATGGTTCAAATCATCGCTTGAAAAAAAAATTCCCAAAATTAAAAGTAATTACTTTTTAAAAATCATAAACTGATAATATTTAATTTTTACTATTATTAATAAATTAATTTAATACTATAAATAAATTTGCTATATTGTGTGAGTTTAGTATTTCTTATATTATAAACAATAAATTTATTTCTTATATATACATAAAAATACGTGTGGTACATATTTTCTCTTTTTTTACATAGATCCATGTAGGGCCACATACTTTTATATATATATATATAATAAATTTATCTTCTACAACATAAAAAATATTAAATCCACGCTGTGTAAAAAAGAATGGATCACACAATAATGGACGTGGTCATATAATTTGAATGTTTTAATTATTAATTAAATCAAAGTCATTAAATATAAATGTAAATATAAATATTATAACGGTTAAAATTTAATATAAAATTTATTATATTTATAGTGAGTTTGTCACTTCTATAACGACCGCAGATGAGAACTTTTGCAGCAAAATATTTACACTAGGATCCGCATCATTTAAAAAAGAAGAAGCCAAAATCCGCTTGTTATTCTGACTTTTTATGTGTTGCTGCAAAATTTTTCATCTACATTAACAGAAGAAATATATTTTCCATTTATAGTAAGTTATTTTTTTGCCCTTTAAGTTATTTGAAAAAAAAAATTGAAAAGAAAAAAAAAAAGAGAAAAAGGAAAAGAAAAGGTTGTATAAAGAAAAGAAAAGAAAAGGTAAATATAAGAGGAAAGAGAGAAGAATATGTGAAGAAAGAAAGGAGAGATATAGAAGAGGGATCTATAGAGTTCTCTTCCTCTTCCTCTCTTCTTCTATGTTTCCATTCACAAACTCATAAGGTATGCATCTCACTCTGCTCTTACGTTTTGCTTTATAATAAATGCGATAAACTTAGGTTAGAAATGGAAAGGGTAGTTGAATAGTTATGTTAACTGAGATAGAGAGAGAGAGAGAGAGATCCATGGAAATCTAGCATATAATAAAAATAAATTGAATGCGTTTTATTTTTTTATTTTTTTTTATTTTTGGGTAATTAAAGTTGGTTTCCGTTGAAGAAGGAATAAATAAATGCTAACACGGATCCAACCATCTTATATTAATTTTAATATATGATCCTTTTTCTTTCATATTCATATTCATTAACACCTTTCACATCTTTCTTGAGCTCACTTCAATAACAAGCACCCAAAATTTGAAAAATAAATAAATAAATAAATAAAAATTGTTTTTTCTGTTCTCTCAGTTAGTAATATTCGTTTCGTTTGCTTTGGGATGCTTTCTGTTCTGTACGACCGACGCAGCAATTGTTTCGTTCATTGAAGGTCGAAACTTTCATTTTGCTCTTACCCAAGCCGTTTTGGAATCTAGGTTTGTGTCAGTTCTAGATTCTTATATATTGCATCAATTCAATGACTTTACATAATTTTTTAATTTTTTTGGGTAATTTTTATAGTTCATGTAGCATTGATCTTGATTAAGTAGCTTGATAACTGTTAGTTATCGCCCTATAATTTTTTTTTTGTTTTTTATTAATTTTTTTTCTTGGTATGTGGCAGTCTCTGGAGCAGTAATTTATGACGGAGTTTGCTGTGAATTTGATTCACTGATTCAACAGTTAGGATAAACTGTAATTCGGTTTTCTTTTGGACTAACATGTCAGGTAGATTCTGTTGTCTCTGTCTTTGGTATTTGATTTTGAGAAATGATATACATACAATCTATTTTTGTTTACAACCACGTCTTACCTGTTGATTTTCGTCAATCTGATAGCTATAATTTATTGGGAATTAATAATTAATTAACAAATATGACCCAATAAATTATATCTGTCAGATTGACGGAAATCAATGGTTAAGATATGGTTGTAAACGAAAATAGATTGTAAGTATAACCTTTCTCTTTGATTTTATGATTTTTTTTCTTTTATGTATGTTTTGATTGGCATGACTTGTCAATGTAAAAATAAACTGATCTAGTAATTTTTATTTATTTTTTCTATTTTCTTAAATTGGGGTGTGGAAGGATTTGAAGGGCAATGTAGTAATGATGAGATTAGGGAGAGAAGATCAGATGTTGAGAACTCTGAAGATGAGAGGCTGAGAAGGTTTAAAATTGGAACACTCAAGAAGAAGGCTATGAATGCTTCTTCAAGATTCACACATTCCCTTAAGAAAAGAGGGAAAAAGAAAATTGATTATAGGGTTCCATCAGTGTCAATTGAGGATGTTAGAGATGCACAAGAGGAGACTGCAGTCCATGAATTGCGCCATAAGCTTATTGAAAGGGGATCTTTACCTCCCAGGCATGATGAATATCACACATTGTTAAGGTGTTTCCTCACTTCATTCAAATTCTACCACTAAATCGAATGTTGAGTATGTCATCATGTATAACAAGTGTTCCATTTTTTCGCTCACGGTTGCACTTGTTGTTGCTCTTTACTTCCTGGTAGGTTTCTTAAAGCTAGGGATTTTAACATTGAGAAGACAATTAAATTATGGGAAGAAATGCTTGCGTGGCGAAAAGAATATGGAACTGATACCATCCTTGAGGTAATGATAGCAATTTATGTCATAGCCGTAAAGGTGTAGTTGCTTTATAGTTTATACCACAGGATGTTTCAGTATAATGGAAGGACAATAAGTATTCCTTTGATTAATTTGATTTTGTAGAATATAAATCGAATTTGTTTATTCTTTAATTTGAACAAGTTAGATATAAAATCATTCATGAACCTCCTCCTCACAGCATAAGTTTTTACAAGAATCAGTCCTTCTTGACATGGAATTGGGGCTATATGACCAAGCAAGTGATCAAAAGTTCCATCCTTGCAGCTCTAGTCCTCTATCTTAAAGTTAAATTTCACAGCAAGGCAAAAATATGCGTTGTCTATGCTTCAAGCCAAAACGGGTCTTGTGTGAGGTCTTTATGATCAAGTAGTCAAGAGTTTTATTATTGCTCCTCCGTTCTGTTCTCCACTCATCAAGCACAAATATCTCTTGATTGAGGGGGCTTGTTAGATATAAAACCATTCATGAGCCTCCAATACCTAATAGTTTAAGCTTTTAGTAGAGTTGGTTCTTGACAGAATAGAATTATTCCATTTTGTAATATTTAAATGTTTTAGCATTGGCATGTCTTCTATGCTAGAAGATGCTTGATATACATATTTTATTTGGCTCTAATGCGATCATGATCTTTGAAGGATTTTGAATTTGAAGAACTGGAAGAAGTATTGCAGTATTATCCTCAAGGATACCATGGAGTTGATAAGGAAGGTAGGCCAGTTTACATTGAAAGGCTTGGGAAAGCTCATCCAAGCCGCCTGATGCACATCACCACAATAGATCGATATTTGAAATACCATGTCCAGGAGTTTGAGAGGACTCTGCTGGAGAAATTTCCAGCATGTTCCATTGCAGCAAAGAGACAGATTTCTTCAACAACAACAATACTGGATGTGCAGGGCTTGGTATGATTTTCTTTCCAGCATGTTCCATTGCAGCATTACACTATATTATTTTTATTAAGTTATGAACTTTACCACCAGTATCTGGTGCATTTTTTTTGATTTGAAGAGGGGGGAGGGGGGGTTCCTGATCAGGCGTTACTCTATTTTAAGAACTGCCTTGTTTTAGGTTGTTGAAATTTTTTTCTGCTGAAATTTTTGCTGGCACCTGATATGTGTAATGCAGGGAATGAAAAATTTCACGCGTACTGCTGCAAATATCTTGGCTTCTATGACAAAAATAGATAGCAATTACTATCCTGAGGTCTTTGTCTTGTCCCTTCCCAAATTAACATTTTCCGGCCCTCCTCCTTTCCATATAAAACTTCATGTATATTTGCAGACATTACATCAAATGTATATTGTTAATGCTGGTCCTGGCTTTAAGAAGATGCTTTGGCCCGCAGCTCAGAAGTTTCTTGATCCCAAAACTGTTGCCAAGATACAGGTGAGGATATAACTATCAGCTAGTAATATTTTATATGCTCTTTGCCTTCAGCGCCACTGATTTTACATTCATTTCCCTAATTTCCAGATTCTTGACCCTAAGTCTTTATATAAATTACTGGAAGTCATTGACTCTAGGTATACATCTGTGCCTTCATTATACGGCATTGTAATTTCTATTCTTTTCTTTTTTTGTGATTAATTTGGAGTTTGTAAATGAATCTGTATAGTCAGTTGCCAGACTTTCTGGGTGGTTCATGTACTTGTACCGCAGAAGGTGGATGTCTTAGGTCTAACAAGGGTCCATGGAATGATCCTGATATCATAAAGGTAATTTCTTTTTTCAAATATCTTGTTTCTTGTGCTTTACTTGTATTGGCTTTTGAAAATTTATGTGACTTAGAATTACCATGTCAAACTAGTATTTGGGCAACTAATGTAGATATTCTGATTTTAGCTGGTACATAATGCGGAGTCAACATTTGTGAGGCAAGTAACCAGAGTGTCCAATGAAAAACAGAATTTCGACTTTTTTCATATACACTCACTAAAGGCAAGTCTGGATCTTCTTGACATTGGAAAGTTGGGACTTCACAAGTATTCACTAGTTTACAGTAGATGTCACTTACAATCATATGCGTTTTTAACTTCTTTTTCTCATCTCTCAGGGACGATGCAATGATACATCAACTGCAGAATCAGGGTCTAATATTATTGATTACTCCTTTCCCACCAGACAAAGGAGCTGTACTTATCCTCATTTAGCCCCAGTTCATGAAGAAGTCTGTTTTAAAACTTTTGACTCTGACTTATTTTAGAATCCTCATCACGTGTGGTTGTGTCTTGAGCTTTTAATCATGCCGACGGCTGTGTCTTCTCCAGGTTAGGCTACCAGATCTCAATGGCTACTACAGTTGTGATGATAGTGCTCTAGCAGTCGAGAAAGTGAACGAAAGTGATCAATTTCACCTTACTCGTGAGCAGTCATTGCAAACTAATGATATGGGGATTATTGTTTGTAGGACGAATTCAGAAGGTATTGTAATAAAATTGTTGAAGCAATTACATTTATATGTTCCTTTTATACATGCTATGACTGGATACAGAATTGCACATATACCTTGTCATATTTGGATCTGGAAGTTGGAAATGCATAATGGCTATTGTTCATGCTAGGTTTAGCTGATATGATTGACAAGTATTTCAGTATTACCCTTTTCCTCTGAGTTCACACTAATTTGATTTTTTGTGGGTTATTTCAGTCAGCAATTGGTTCAGCATTGTTAAGGAAAAAATAGAGAAAATGAATTCCTTATATGTGGCAAGAGTGCTGACTTCTTTCATGGAAAGACTAGTTGCATTTTTCCGCAGTTTAAGATTTGAATTTTGGAGAACACAGAACAATGATCACCCTTCAATTACCGGGGAATGTAACTTCAACAACCATCCAGCAGTTGTTGAAGCAACCTCTGAAAGAGATCATATTCTTCCATGTGCACAACGTCTTCAGAGACTAGAAAAATTATTTGAGGAACTTAATAACAAACCTGATGGTATGCCTATGGAGAAGGAGCAAATGCTTATGGATTCCTTGGATAGGATTAAGTCTGTTGAGTTTGACCTTGAAAAGACAAAGAGGGTATTCATCTATACTTTCATCAGTCATGTACAACTTTTGGTTATACTGATCTGATGTGTGGTGCTTAAAATTTGTGCTTTTACTGCAGGTACTACACGATGCAGTGAAACAGCAGCTTGAGATTGCTGAGTTGATGGAGAACTTGCAGAAGTCAAAATGTCGAGTAAGTTGGTTTTTTATATTTGATTACGATATTTATCAGGCTGTTCTATGAGGGGTTGATATTAATAAACTTTGTTATCTGAATGAAGATAAACTGGTAGAGGAGGATTTTCCCCTTGTTTTTTTAAGAATACTTCTGCATCTTTGGATAAGTGAGCATGCAATGGTTTAATTTTGTTCATGAATTGATAATTACAGCTACAAGATCTGGATTAGATCTCGAGTGTGTAGTACTAGTTGGTTTTCCTTTCATCTTGCTTTGTGTTTCCCTTCTTATTGCTATTGTCATGTTGTTGGTTTCTTTTATTACTTTTTTGTTAATCCCTTCTCAAGTACATGACCACAACAGGTCTTAAGCCTCCCTGCAAACTATTCCAAATCCCTTACCACTAACTCAAGCCACTTGGCTTGTGATTCTGTGCTCTCCAATTCCTCATTCATTTAGACAAGGCCCTAGTGAGACTGCCTGAATCATTTGCTTTTGCAACTGGAATATGACATCATAAATTGTAGAATCATTAGTTAAGATTAGATTGTTTACATGTCAACTTAAATTGGTCAAGCCTGTCCAAATTGAATTCATAGAGTTCATACCCAAATTTTTATCTCCAATGCTGAGACTTCCAACTGATTAATTATACCACAATCACATAACAGCCGCACCCCCAAAGATGAAAAACTTTCTTGCAACTTTGGTTCAATCTACAGTAAAATGATTATAAAAATATTGAACTTTTACACCATGCCCACCCCTAACATGGTCTGGTTTCACCTCTGTTCACAAGTTCTGTTATGTTTGAACATGAGTTCATATCTGTCGTTTCTTGAAAAATTTAGAGTTAACAAGAATTATTCTTGCAGCAAAGAAGGCTATTCTGTTGAATCATCTAAGTTTCAGCAACAGGAGTCCTTGGCACCACAGAAGAATATTTTAATCAAATAGCAGACTTCATGCAAATTCACATGTAGATTGAACCCGAGGAATCCTGAGTAGAGGCGTGGGGAATTGGGATGGTACACAGTCCACTTTTTTTTTTTTTTTATAAATATATAATGTGGATTTCATCTTAAATGTTTTTTTTTTTTTTTCTCATTTTTCATAGTAAATAGGTGACAAAATTTGTAGTTTTGTATGGACGAGATGTTCTATTCCGTTTTAGATAGTGTAGAGAATAGAAAGATAATAGAAAAGGTTACAGTGCAGAAAGTTTAATCAATCGCTCCTTTGTGTTGGGCGTAAAGGTTTTTGAAAAATGTTTGTCAGACATTGGAATAATTAATCACCATATGGTGTGTGACAATAGTCTATTTTCTCTATCTGTAAATGTAAGGATTCTTTAGTACTCCTGATTATCACAAATAAAAAACTGTTGAGGAATTTGGAGAAGGAATTGAAGACTGATCACGATGAAAAGTGGTGGGGTACTTGAAAAAAGATACTCTAAAGCTTAAGTTAGATTCCATTTATAGATTGCTAATTACATCATAGGACAATGCACGCACGCATACCTACGCTAATGTAGGGCTCTTACTCTTTTGCATGGACAATGTCAATGTCATCATCCTAGGTTTGTGTTTGTTGCGTTGTCGATAGATGATAGACTCATTTACGGTTACAAGCTTTAGTTGGTGGGTCATAATTGCCATGTCTTTTAACATTGGAAGTTCTTGAGATCAGGGTCAATGGCATAAGAAGTCAACCTTATTTTTATAGTATTAATTAATTTTTCTTTATGTGGGTTGGCTGGTCATTAGAAATGGGCTTAGCATGGACTCAAAACACATGGAGGAGGTACTAATTCAAATTTCAAACAAAGAAGGAAAGTTGATGTCATTTTACTTTTGTATTTTAACTAAAAAATATTTTTTTAAATATTTAATCCGATTTGATATGCCGCTTGCTATATAATCCGAGGTTAGTCGAGTAAAATGTCACGCAAGCAAATCTTATTAGTTTGTTGGTTTCAACAATAGTTTTCCGTGTTCAATTTCTCATATGGTGGTACATGTTTTGTATTTTATTTTAATTATTGTTCAATTTCTTGAATAGTGTTTGAAAAAGGTATAGAATGCGTTGATTCGTCAATTATGATTGATTATTTTATATGACATCAAATATTATTCAATAATTACTTACAAAAAAAAAATATTGTTCAATAATTATTAAAATTGTTTTAAGTATAATTAAATGTGATTCAATAACCGATTTAATCACTGAATACACATGAAATTACAAATGGACACGATAATTCATGTAACATCCCGTTTGTGGGAATATTTACACTAAAATAAAGATATACACAACTACACTAGCATACAGATTTATATATCTTAAAATAGTCTTACATGCTAATATTTGTAGCACAATAATCTCAATACAAAAGAACAATGTCTGGTTATAATTATACTCCCACATGCGCGCACACCCACACACACATCCTTAAAAAGATAAAAATAAAAGTAAAGAAATAATATGAAATGGACAGTGACACAGTTTACCAACAAAAGCAATTTAGCGTGTGTTTCTGTCGTCACCCAATTAACTCATCTTAGGATTGTGTTTGTCTCTCTGTCATCCGATTTGTTCACTTCTAATTGTTAGATGTTGAACTCAAATACCTCATAATTTTGTTTATTTTTTACTAAAATGAATGTTTTACCTTCTAACTTTATTTTATATATATATATATATTAGGTTGCACACACTAGCTTTTGAAAAAAACAAGTAGTCAATGAATGGTCATTTGATTGTATCACCTTTCCTCCGGCGGCCTCAATTCTTGCATATTTATCATCTCGGTTTGGCTAAATATCACAACAAATCATGAGTTAAAAATTTAACATTTTAAAGGAGATTCAAAACTATAACTAAAACTCTAAAAGGAGAGAAATTTTGGTGCTCATGGACCACTATTAACTCAGTGGGGACCAATTAAAATCAAATAATTATTGAGGAGAGAAAAGAGGAGAAATAAAAAATAAATTTTTGTCCAAGTGGCACTCCCTAAATGGAAGGATCACATGAGATCTGGAGCACCAAAAGAATTGCCTCCGGAAGCAGCTTACCTTATGGTTATTAAAAAAAATACTTTTACAATATGTAAAACTATTCATAGTATCTTTAAAAAAAAAAATCGGAGACGCTCCTCCCGAACCCAATCACTAATTATGCAAACATAAATAAAATTTTCTGAATATTGCGAGTATATTTATGAGTACATACAATTATTACTATCTTTATAGGGCTATGACTATTGATTTCTTTTTCTTTCAACTTAGCACTCTTTATTTTTACACAGACACATATTCCAAAAGTCTGAGATATGTGAATAAAAAATTACAGGAATAACATAACAAACTTTACATATTTATGTAATGTTTGAATAGTTAAAATTTATAATGTAAACAATTTAAATTATCTGTTTTAATGTGTGACATGTTCACTTATAATACGTTTAATTAACATTATTACATAACAAAAAGTTTGGAACTATTACTATTTTACATAGAATTATTATTAATAATATTAATCGGTTACTTCAGTATTAATTTTATTATTATTATAAATACTAAAAGTTTGGAACTATGGTAACACCCCCAATGTGCATTTTGATTTACGTTTTAGCCCATTAATTCTGTGATTTTAGTGTAGTTATGCCTCCCTATGCTAGTAACTTCGTAGAGCTGATTTTCTTTGGTTGGAATAGTCTGCTACTGATGTCTAAATCACTAGAAAAATGTTGACAGAAGAATAACTAGAAAGAGATGGTTCAAGTCTTTGATGCTATTATTATACTTGGCTATTTTGAAGTTAATGGTCCCCAAAAGTTTTGATTTCAATATTTCTTATGGATTCTAGTACTGTATTATTTTCTTGCTGGAAGGGGATCCATGAGAAAGACCTACTCAACTTGATAAATATGTATACAGGAAACCCAACATATGGTGAGAATATGTGAGAACATATGTGTTAGTGGGAAGCTACTGCTCTTGGTGGAGCAGGGACTTTTAATGGGGCTGGGACTATGGTGCAACAGTAATGGGGCTATGTGGAATGCAAACCTTCATGTTGTCACTGTAATAAAACGAAAAAAAGAGTTGTTATGTGACTCTAACTTCCTTGGTGCAATCCTAAGAGATTGTATAAAACATCTGTATTTGTGTGGGAAGTTACTATTTTTTTAAAATACCTTTGGAAAACGGGAATTTCTTAGTAGGAATCTTAGAAGATTATAAAAATGCATAAGAATAGTTTTTGTTGAAATATATAAAACCATTAATGTAACCTCACCCAACAGCTTAAGTTTTTGGGTTGAATTGGTTCTTTACACGGTATCAGAGCCTCGGTGTACCGGGTTCGATCCTCACCGCCCCCCGCCCAACTTTTTTTCAAGTGGAATTTCTTTCTTCGCACAGGTAGGTGGGCCTGTGCATTGTCCACCCTTCAAGCTCAGTAGGCTCTCGTGTGAGGGGGCGTGTTGAAATATATAAAACCATTAATGTAACCTCACTCAACAGCTTAAGTTTTTGGGTTGAATTAGTTCTCAGATGTTTTCTTGGCCTCCATGGAAGGATGAAATCAACATAGGATAGGATGTCAATGTGCGAGTAGTTAGTTTCATATTTAGCTTCGTCTTTATAATTTAGTGCTGATTACTTCTATATAAGCTATCTTCGGCATTTTTCATTTGCATGTGTTGCTAGTAAATATTCTGCTTTTTTTTTCATTATTGTTCTCTTCATTTTAGTTATCCTCTTGTCTCAAAAACATGTTCATAATGTCCCTTCGTTGGGATATATAGCTATTTGTCTGGAGTCTGGATACCTTTCCAGCTTCCAAGTTGATGTTGATAAGAAATTAGTAGTGTAAAGAACCTTGGGATACACCACCCCAAAAGCTAGCTCAAAGGGTGGGAGTGCCCAATGCCTTATAAATCCACATTAGTTGACTCATACAACCAATGTGAGACTATATGTCTCAACATGCCCCCTCACACAAGAGCCCATTGGGCTTGAAGAATGGACAATGCAACAGACCCAGCCTACCTGTGCTAAGAAACACCACAAGAGAAAGTGGGGGGCGGCGAGACTCTAATACCATGTTAAGAACCGATTCAACCCAAAACCTTAAGGTGTTAGGTGAGGGCCTTTTTAATGACTTATATTATTCTCTAACACACCCCATCACACAAGAGCCCTTTGGGCTTGAAGTGTGGATATTGCACAGGCCCAATTTTTGGTTTACCTTCTTTTGTGTTTTTTTTTTAATTTAATTCCACAAGTGGGGGGCGGTGAGGATCGAACTCGTGACCTTATGGTCACTGAAGCTCTGATACCATGTAAAGAACCTTGGGATATTGTAAAAAAGGGTTTTTGTATATTGATATTGAATAAATTACATGAGGAGTATTTATACAAGAAAGAATAGCTAAGTATGACTTAGCAATGACTAATCAATCCTAATCACAATCAATTATAATCAATCACAATCAATCCTAGTCAATCTTAATTAATAGGAAATAAAAACGGAAAATATTTGAATTCTGATTTTCTACACTCCCCTCAAGTTGGGAGGTAAATATTGATCATTCCCAACTTGCCAATCAAGTCTTCGAATGCTGGACGGTGTAGGCCCTTGGTAAGGATATCTGCAGTTTGCTCTTTGGTTGGAACATACATCATATGCACACTTCCATCATCTAATTTTTCTTTGATGAAGTGACGATCAACTTCCACGTGCTTTGTTCAATCATGATGCACATGATTTTGAGCAATGCTAACAGCTACTTTGTTGTCACAATATAGTTTTATTGGTAGGGAATATGAAATCTTCAACTCTTGAAGAAGTCTTCTCAACCAGATTCCTTCACAAACTCCATGAGCTAAAGCTCAAAATTCTGCTTCGGCACTACTTCTTGCAACCATTGTTTGCTTTTTGCTTCTCCAAGTAACAAGATTGCCCCACACATAGGTGCAATAGCCTGAGGTAGATCTCATGTCTACTGATGAGCCTGCCCAATCTGCATCAGTGTAGATTTCAATCGTCATTTTATACCCCTTTTTAAAGAATAATCCTCTTCCTGGAGTGTTCTTGAGGTATCTAAGCACCCTATAGACTGCACTAAGATGCTTCTCCTTGGGTGAGTGCATGAATTGACTAATTATACTCACCGCAAAGGCAATGTCAGGACGCGTATAAGATAAGTAAATTAGTTTACCAACCAATCTCTGATATTGTTCTTTATCCACCTCATTCCCATCTTCAATACCTAACTTGGTATTAGGTTCCATGGGTGTCTCAGCAGGCTTACACC